AAGACTAGAGAAAGAACAGGCCGAGTTGTGTTTTTGAAATGGTTCTTTCCGTGCCAGGCATGATTGTGATTGGAGTAGATGAGGAGTTTGGCCCCCAGGTGTACAAGTGTGACCCTGCCGGCTACTACTGTGGCTTCAAGGCCACGGCCGCCGGCGTGAAACAGACGGAGGCCACCAGCTTCCTCGAGAAGAAGGTGAAGAAGAAACTTGACTGGACCTTTGAGCAAACTGTAGAGGTAAGATGCTGTTGAGTAGATAAATTGATTCCAAAGAAGTCAAAAGCAGATGCACAGTGCTCCCTCCAGTTTTCTTACCCAGTCGATATATTATGATGTATTATATCCTGACTCTAAGTGTGTTATAGCTTGTTCATTTTAAGGGCTCCAAGAATGACCAGTTTTGACTGTTTCTTCCATAGTAGGTTGTCGACTTAATAAATTTGACTCTGAAAATTAATCCATAAGAAACATCTGAAAAACACATCTTAAAAAAACTAAAGAGATGGCATTACTTAGCCAGTTAAGTGGTGCCAGCACCTTAACTTGGAAAATGTTTTTAAATGCATGAAACTAACGTCGTTATGTCTATTACGCATGCTCAAAAAATACATAATTAAAAACTGAAATCTACTTCAAAATGTGTTCTCACAAATACAATACATTGTTGTTTTCATAAAATACATACATATTACGTTTTGTGTTATGTTGCTTTATTTTTTTCCCTCTCAAAGCAGATTTTCTAAAGTGCACGACGACAACCAAAAGAATTCCATTTATGTCAGACAGATTTAAGAAAAATATCATTACAAACCTCCGATTTTATATGAAATCATGAGAATAATCCGCTTCTGCATTTCTTCGTTGCTTCTTACCTGTCGACACGGCCACAAGTTTGAGCGGCTATTGATATGCCAGCGACAAGTTCGTCAGAGGTGGAGATAAGCCACGTGTGGAAAAAACAGACAGAATGAGATAAAATGGCACGCAAAATAAGGCAGTTTGTATTTGCTATTTTCACAATGGCACGCTCTCATTTCTCCGCTGAAGTAGCTCTGCTACAAGTTCCATCATTTCCTGACAGCAGTGATGAAATTAATTCATCCTCCGATGAAGATTGAGACAACAATGAGGATTAAGAAGAAATTGTTTTAAAGACTGGCACAAAACAAGTAGATTGTTCTTTATCATGCTAAAATAGTTTTTGATTTCCCTATTCTGCCATATCTACTATTCCTATTGCTTTCTACACACAGAGAAACTACAAATGCTATATGTTTTTGTCTCATTTCACACTGACATTCAACAAAAGACAGGCCCATTGACAGGCTTATTTGGGTATTGGGAGTTCCCCAGGTGAATCACATTCATATTCATGACCACAGCTGTTTGCCCAGGTAGAGACAATTTAACAGAAACAGTGTCATAGTTTTTTTTATTATTATTTTAATTAAACTGAAAGGAATTTGTAAATGACTTTAATACATTTACATAGCTAAGACTTGTTCAACACAATGATCTGTGTTTCAAAGTGTGCTGGATATTAACAATTTGTGATTTATGAAGATTATTCTAGCATGTTTTAGCAAAATGCATTTTTATTAAAAAAACCCTAACCTAACCCTAAAAGGAAAATAAAATCTTGGCAAGATACTGCTGCCCTATTATTGTAACTGAAAACAAAAATATAGGTCATATTGAATTATCTTTTTTGCTGTAGAGAAGTCAGACCATATCAAGACATCTCCAAAAGTGTCTCACAAGGCCTTAGACCCCAGAGGGTTCAACCACAGTCCAATGAACCAGTAATGTTTTGCTTTGTGCCCAACAGACGGCGATCACCTGCCTGTCCACAGTGCTGTCCATTGACTTCAAGCCCTCAGAGCTGGAGATTGGAGTTGTGACAACAGAGAACCCTAAGTTCAGGTAATAGGAGCTGAGGCCTTACCCTTCTACAAGGAGGGTGTGGCCCATGCACAGCTTTTTGTTTACTCTTCTTTACCGTCTTATTATTATTATTACTCCGATGAGGTGTGCCGCCTGAGCTTAATGCATTTGTAATATTTCAGATAGAGCTTAAGTCAGTTTTACTCTGAGCACTATACTGTCCATAAACAGGTAGCAAAGATCATCATGTCTCTGATATTCCTTTTGATTAAACTGCATACTATTGCACTTGCTAATCTGCGGCAGCACATGTAGAAGAAATGGTGCAAATGCATCAAAACCACTCAGGCCTTCCAACTAACTCCTTTGACTGCTAGGTAAATATGTTATTTATCCTGAGGAAGTATTAGCTGGTTTCTCTTAGCTTTCTATAGCTCTGATTTCCATTACTTTTGGTCCCTTGCAGGATCCTTTCTGAGTCTGAGATCGACTCTCATCTGGTGTCACTAGCAGAGAGGGACTGAGCGATGTCACCACACAAGGGAAGCTGCAGAGGGCCACTTCGTATTCCAGAGTTCAGCCCGAGAGCAACGCTGTTGTTTGCTGTATATTTACCCTGCATTAAAGATAATGTTTTGGAGAAAAAACACCACTTCTTTGAAATCATTCATTTGGTAGATCCCCATCTCCCGGATGTCGTTCTTTTTTCTTTGATGTTTGCGGTAACTTCTACAATGCATATTGGCCTATTTTGAGAAGCATTTCAATGATTGGGTACCTGGTGATGAAACTTTCAAACTGAGATTTGGGGGATTGGTGTTTCTCATGCTTTTCCCAGAAACATGTGCCCTCCCCATCGTCTTCCACACATTGTACCCAAGAGTAATGAGTGGTATGTGATTGTAAAGTCTCCATCAAACTTTCCTTCTTTCTGGGAAAATGCCTTCTACCTCAGTGGCAGCGGTGTTACTAAGTTCCGTCTCGAGGCCACATTTAGTCGCGAGGGAAATTCTCACAAGGACATTATTGCAGAAGCTAAGAGACTTTGCTCTCCTCTTCCTTCCTGTTTGGGTTCATTTCTACACATATTTCTGTCACATGACATGCACCACAGGGCAGAGAAGTTTTTTTCAATGCCTAAACTGGATTGGACCAGGTTGTTTTTAGTTGACATTCATTTACATTCTCAGGCTGATGTGTTGAAAGACTAGCTTAGTACTTTGAAAGGCTACTGAGTTTTGTCTTAAGGTAACATGCTAAATGGCTATTTTGTTTTAAGTTACAAAAAAAACTGGTTACATAACAAGGGTTTTGTTGAACAAGAGTTGTTCTTTTATGTAGTCTACTTAATACTTCAGTTTCCTGTGCAATTGTGTCCTTTCTGATGTGAAGTAAACTGTCCAATTGTCTCGTGTACCATGGAGTTGGCTGGACTGTGTGCCTTGCATGCTGTCACACCTGCAAGATGTGCCAACCACACCGGAGCAGGGTATCTGCACCAATCGGGCTGAACGTGGCTCCAGTATGACTCGAGTCATTTACATTGGCTGGGTGCAGGGGGGCCTCACCCGCTGCCAGGAATTCACCGTCCCCGGCAGCGAATGGGTCGCTGACGTAACTTGCGACCTCAATCAAAGGTGTTGTGAGCAAAAGCGTAATCTCAGGAGCCTGCACCGACTCCGGGCTGCCGGACTGTGTCCCATTCACGCAACAGGAAATTACAACTGCTGCAAAAAGCCAGTCAGGTCTGTTTGCTCTGACTTTCAAAACGGGCCATCCTCTGCAGCGTGGTTCTCACGGTATGGCTTCCTTCACCTCTGCTACGTTGCAAGCGTTTCGCTTTCCCTAGACTATCAGAGGCTCCTGCTCTGTGCTTCTCAAAATAATTCACAGAGGTGCATGCGTAGCTTCAAAGGCATGTCGCATTTTAAGGCTACTTTGGATGTGACCTGCACAGGAGGTCCTCCCTTGATTTACAATAGCTCTGATGGGATGATTATTATACAGGATGTATGTAACAATATACCAGACAGCTGATTCCTGGCAGCTTTCACCAGTCCTTTGTAAAGAAGAGATTCTTTTTTCTAATCTAATGGGATTTCAGTTCATTAAAAATCTTCAAAAAACCACAGTAACTAACAGCTGCCCAGATGATTTATTTACTGAGGGCTCTTCTGTCCCAGTAAAATCAGAAACATGTAGTATACTAATTGCAGAGAGTTAATGAGTATGATAAACATTACTCATCTTGGAAAATATTAGTATGAACACATTAAGTCCCTAATGTTCCGCACTTCTGCATTATGAGAGTACACGCTCATCTCGTTAATCAGCTGGGAGTTTTTTCTGCACACATCCCCAGGAAATTCCTGTTTACTTATCAGAGAAGCTGGGAATTTAACTTGAGCATGGAAACCACTCCTTTTGCTCTGGGCCTGAGGGAGGTACAAGAGAAAAGGCATTTTCCTGCCCGGTGTCGTAACATTGTTGATTCTGAGTTTTTGCTCAACACTGGAGTTTATTTACTAAGAAATGTTCTGGAACGCTTGCCAAATATTCAGAGCACGTTATGAAGGAAGACACACTCAAACAGCTGAGGGATTTCCCTGCATTGCTGTCTTTCCATGGAATTTCCTCCTATAATCGCAGACATGACACTGAATGTGTCACTGTAAATATGTAAGACAGTCTGTCCTATGTGTGCTCTCAGCAGGCTAAGCCTCTGTCCTTGTGAATAGAAGGTCGCCGGTTTGATCCCCAGCCTCAGGAGAATAGTAGCATCTCTGTTGGACCCTTGAGCAAGAACCCTTAGCCATCCATAATGCTACAGGGGTACTGGGTATATGACCTAACCTTGTACATGAACCCCAAGCTTCTGCTCCCAGCTGTGTGTGTTTGTGTTTCAAAGGAGAGCAAGATGGGAGATGCAAAGCATGTCAATGTACTTGCACTTCTGCACATTGTAAGGCGTCATTTCATTTCCATCTTCACAGAACTCTGGATCACTGTCACCCTAACCAAAGGCTGCCGGAAAATGGGGCATTTTAAACAGCTAAAGGGTTTCCTTTTCATCACCATTTTGCTTACTCCCACTGTCAGCCAACCACAACAAGAGCGTAAAGAAAACATTTTTATTTTCCATGGTGTTTGCACAAAATGAACATGAGATATCTACACAATACATTAAATTTACATTATGTACACTATATATCTATACACATAATTACATAAACATTTTGAAAAAAAAATAAATCTTCCATGAAGCCAGGATGATATTTTTCTGTCTTTCGCCATGGATGATTTCAGTCTTTTCTTCCCGGTCCTTCTGTGCTTTCAGCTTCCACTTGGTTTTGGACTGGACCTGCTGTGACGGGTCTGCCGGAGTCGGACCAGAACCAGGGCAGGAACCTGGGACTGCTGTACGCTATGTCAGCGCTGGACCTGTCAGGGGACTCTGTAGTCTTCTCTGCACCGCCGGGCGAGGGGGAGGGAAGGATGGGAAATGGGCCCTACTTCTGCCCTCTGACGAAAATGTCATCGTAGATCTGTGGAGGTAAAGCCAGAAACATTAGGACCAGAGGGAAAAAAGTACCAAATTCTACCTAAATTCTCCCCATCAGGGTCACTTTGAAATTCCACCAGATTGACACAAAACTTACATCTTCTTCCTCTGATGAAGGCTCCTCATCGCTGTCTTCCTCGTCACTCTCAGGAAGCTCCCTCAAATCCTGTGCAGTGAGAGCGTGCAGCTGTTGCTGTATCTCGGTGCTCTGCCTCCCGTAGGTCAGGTGGTAGGCGGTGTAGCCACCATACGTCACACTGTTAACGTTGGCACCCTTGGCGACGAGGAGCTTCACCAGCTCGAGGTTCTGCAGATCCACGGCCAGGTGGAGTGCCGTTCGGCCATTACAGTACTCCTGGGGGGAGGGGGCAAAGTAAAATGCATATGAGGTCTTGCTGTTTTTCCCACCACTTCCTGTCACCTTGCGGGCACTTCAAGTCTCAACAGAAGATGGTGGAGAAGACACCCACCTGTGCATTGACATCCGCCCCGAGCTGGATGAGGCTTTCTACCAGTGACAGGAAACCGAAGATGGAAGCTATGTGTAGGCAGTTGTGACCTGTAACGAGCAGAGCGGACACCAGTTCAGGGACGGGGGTCCAGGCCAGGGAACAGAAGGCAATCATTGTCGGGCGGAGGTACGAAAGGTGAACCTACCGCTGTAGTTGGGTGCAGCGAGGATGGAGGCGAGATGTTGGGGACGGTATTGCGTGAGAACGCTGAAGCAGTGCAGGGAGCCTTTCTTGCAGGCGATGTGGAGGGCAGTGTTTCCACAGTCGTCCACCAGCTGGGGGTCACAGCCAGCCTTTAACAACGTATCCACCAAGTCAGCCTGTTCAGTAATCACGGCCAGGTGCAGGGCAGTCTGGAAGACCAGAGAGGGAAATGTTAAGCTCGACATTCCTTTACTTTCACGTCAGATCTTCAGAAAATGAATTAACATTTTATGAAACAATTTTAACAATTACCTGTCTTTGGTTATTTTGGACGTTCAGGAATGGTTCGTTCCGGGACCTGTTGATGATCTGGAAAACGTAATCTTTCGCTTCGTGAATGACGGCGAGGTGGAGAATCCTGGAAATATGTCGGGGGGGGAACAGAAGTCAGCCACAACAGTCGGAGCATTTGCATCTGTATTTCACACATGCGTTTCTTTTTTCTGGTCAGGTTATTTCCACTAGAGGCGGTTCTACATTGATGCACTATCAGCAGCCTCGATTCCGGGCAAAGCGCCAGGGACTTTCCAGCTTACGCATGCGAGCGCCGCCTATAATAATCTTACGCCAGACCATAGGGACGCAGTGGCTGAACTTTCAGTCCCCATAAAGTACTCTTTATTTAAAGTACAATTGAGTATCACAGCATGTTAATGTATTATTATCATCATTTGATTACTCTTTTGCATACTCCTATGGGACACACCATCTTCTACGTTGTTTAATTGTACCCTTTATAACTTGCAATGTTTTATGTAGCGACCACAGTGGTTGTTCAGCAGATAATTGTAATGTTTTTTGTTTTTTTTTTTTTTTAACTATTAATGCATACTGTCGAACATTAAGTTCGTGAGACATTCTTGCAAATGTGGATAGCGAGGGTCCGAACAAACTTGCAGCCGACTGTTAAATTAACCTGTAATGTTATTTAAAGCTAGTATTGACGGAATAGATATGGGAAAAGGAAACTTACGTGTCTCCGTCCTCCGTCCTTTGCAGCTTCCATGGTTCGTTGATGTAATCAGTCTGTGTATAGTCGTGGTTATCCACGCGCAAAGTGTCCATATTATCCACAATACTGTCCAACTCTTCCTTCAAGGAATCCAATCCGCTGTCCAGGCGGTCTTCACTGCAAGGTACCTTTTTTGAATCCATACCAGTTTCATAATCCATTTGGTTATTGGTGCCGTAAACGCGACACAAAGCCATTTTTCCTTCGCTGAAGTTTGGTTTAAGTTCTTCTTACTACAAGCCACAATGGTATGACTGCGGATGGGAGGATCTTGCGTTTTTATAAGTCCTGATGGGGAGGAGCTTGCGTGCACGATAGGGGGCTTTCCGAAGGAGGTATGACTTATCTGAGGAACAGAAGGGAAACTCAGCACGGGCTTTTATGGTGAAATTCCCCTCAAAACGAGTTCACGGAGTAATAATGAAATAGTGTAGTTTCCTATTCCGCATGTGAAAAAGGACCGTTTCCATTGTATCGCTGTTATTGAACATGAGTGCATGTATGCAGATACATTTTTGGGTGCAGGTAAATTAATCGAAGAATTAACAGTACGAAAAATAAATGCAGCGACTGGGAGTTTTATTCTTATTCTTGTTAATACTATAATAAATGATATTATTTTATGCTGCACCATTAAAGCATTAAAAAGAACCACAAAGGTCTTGTTTATAGGATATCGGAATCAGACATTTAAACCTCACGATTTTTGCCTTCAAGCCTAAGTTTACATCCCCGTTTCAGACGGCGTATAGGCAACAAAAATATGGTTAAAGGTTAGCATTATATATGGGATTGTTTATCGGGACGGATTAAAAGGACACTCCACTGACATGCGGTTGTTCACACTTCAGACACGAAACGCTGGGGCACCTCGGGTTTGCACAATCGCTGGGGAATTAGTAAATACAGCGGCAACATAGTAACAGTATCCGTGTATATTCTTTCCGAGAGACGCATGCGCCTGACGTCATTTACGTAACATTATATATATATATATATATATATATATATATATATATATATATATATATATATATATATATATAGCCTATATATAACGTCACTATATATAGTATGTAATTTGCTAATTTGCAGTCTGCCTTGTTGGAGCAGGTATGAATGGAGACCAGAGCAAATCTGCTTTCTGGGGATTCATCATACACGTAAAGCCTGTAGATTCCAATGGAAAACGTGTGGCTATTATTAAACAAGATATTATTAGATGTAGTCCAAAAAGCACCAATAATAACATCTTGATCACGTTCACTGCACAACTCCAGCAAGATTCACGGGAATGTCCCTTGCGCTAGTTCATGCTGGACTCAACCCTGAGAAGAAAAAAAAATCCCAGGGACACAAAGTTCTTCCTGAACTGTGGTTTAACCCTTTTATTCTGGGGGGGGATCAAACCGGTGCTGCAGTATCTTATTAACTCGTAGGGAGTTACCCTCAGTCGGTCAAAGGTGCTTTTCCAAGCCTTCTGTGTCAGGCTAAACTGTTCTGCAGTCAAATCACAGGCAAATAGGCTTTGCGAGTTACAAAACACTAAGAAGCAGTTTGCAAAAAAAAAGTACTGAGATTCTTTCATATCCAGAGAAGGTAACGTTTGATACATTTTACAATACATGGCTAAAGAGGAAAAAAATGTAAAAAAAAAAAAAAAAAAAAAAAAACAACACGCCATGTCATTATAATAAATATTATATAGACAACTGAATAACAACCATCTGACTGTGTTGTGTGCATCTTGCTTTATTGGTGAAAATTAAAACACAGCATTGCAGTTTGAGTGTAGTGTCAGCGGTAAGTGACAGGAGTGCGGGTCTACAGGTGATTCCCCGCAAAGCATGTACGCCCGTTCTTATGGCCAGACTCAGGCCCGAACGTTGGCGTCTGCAGAGAATGGGAACCTGGGGGAAACCCGAGAAGACTAGGGGGCGAACCTGAGGTGACTCCAGGTCTGCCGTGGTGTATCTGGGACTGGCCATAACTGGGGAGAGGGGCCCCATACCTGGGGAGGGGGGGCCCATACCTGGGAAGGGGGGGGGGCATGCTGCCTGGCCCCAGGATTTCCTCATAGTCCCACCTGATTGTGGATCTCAGCATGACTCGTTCCTGTTGTCAATGCACTTGTGTATATTTATCATTTCCAAACACAGACATACATGTAATTAAAATAAATTGTGATGTCTGAGATCATTTTAAATAGCCGTTGTCTGGGCATTGCTATAAAATTCCTCCTAATTATTTTCCCATAGAAATGAATGCTGTGCTTATAAAAAAAATCCCAAGAAACATAGATGGACAATGAAATGGAAGGAGGATGGAGTGCAGTAGTTTGGCTCTCTCACTGTAGGAATGGTTGTCATGGCACTGTGTTACCAGGATAATCACATTCCCTTTGCCAAAGGGTGTGTCGTGCCAGTGGGGGTGTGCATGGAGCACACCTGGATAGCGTCATGCATCCCAACCATGACGACTTTGGAACGGCGTCATTGTGTACTTTGGCTGTATCCTAGACAGCAATTCTGCATGATGGATGAGAATTAACAGCGTGACACATCATACATGCCTTGTGGTTTCGGTTCTTCCACTTTCTATTCTGATCTCACGATGGGTATGGAAGACGATTATGGGTGTGTTTACGCTGGATTTCTGCTGCACTGAGTCACACGTGATTCACACACAGCCAACTCACATCTCATCCTAGTATCTACCTTCCTGGCCTGAAGCCCGGGGTTTTACACTGTAGAATGACTTAAGTATTACTGTACGAGTTAGTCACAAAATTGCAGTCATTGATAAGAGACACATTCCCCAAATAGCTATTATTTCTTTCATGTTAGTAAACAGATAATTGAGTGTGGGCTCTCGTGTCCCGTGATGGACAAGCATGCAGTCCATGGTGTTGTCCTCTCTTGGAGCCTCTCCTTGCTGGGGTGTGCTCCAAATCACTGGCACCCTGATAGCCAAGACACCAGAATTCAACGTTATGTGTCTGCATATCAGATGAAGCCAAAAGCACCACCATTATGTTTGATGACTTCATGTTTCTAAACAGCAATCTCCATAGCATAAATACTGCCAAGTGTAAAACTATAGCCATCCATGGATAAATGGCTGGAAGTCCCTTTGTTTAAGTGTACAGATGGAGTAGTTTACAAAAATGGTGAAGCTAGTCACTACTGACTTAAGATGAGATCATTTGTTAAACTTGGGGGTGTTTGTGTCAGCTGTATAATTCTGTCATTCCTATTATTAAAACAGTCAGCTGTGCCATACTTGAAATTAATCTGTCGTGGAAGTTATCCAGTCCAGAAGAGACAAATAGGACGGTCATAGAAAAATACTGTAGATAATACCGGTATTTGTAAACCATTGCCACTAGAGGGCAGCGCTTGACTGAGTTATATCAAGGCCAGCCTAATATCAGGACGTTTGGAGGGAAAGATGAACAGCCACCCAGAAGCCTTATGTCTGTTTACTTGAAGTGATTAAACGTGACATGACAACAGAAGACTATAAAACGAAGTGCAAAAATAAAATAAAATAAATGCTATTATTTAAATAAGTGTTAGTTACAGCGGTCAAGCAATTGCACAGATATTAACCAAATTTGGTTACCTACACTCACCTATAAAATTATGTTACGATAATTTAATAATGTATTTTGTCTTAAATCAATGGAACTAATAATATAAATATGTATTGGTGATGCTTGTTCAAATGCAGGTTCACTTTACAGCGCTGTAGTCAGTTAAACAAATAGGCATTTTTGCCATTTTATGTAAAGACATAAAACCAAATGAAACACCGAGTCCCTGTCCTCGCGGGTGAAACGGAATTTCGCCGCGGAGCTGTCTGCAGTTCAGAAGTACTGAAATTCCTCGGTCTTGGATTGAAGTTCATCTGCCACCACTAAGACTTCTTGCCTAGTACAAAAGAATCAATAAATAAATACTGATAATATAGAAAGGGAACTTGTGCTAAAGCAATCGCTATTTTCAGGTGGACAAAACGGGTAACAATGCATTATCTACGCAATTTCTAATCCTGGTATGATTTTGTATGAACCCAATTGAAGTTAGTATTTAAAAACAATTATAAATGGCCACACATTTCAAAGATCATCAGTAAATCATCTCATCTTGGCTTTCTTCATATCTAGGAATCCACAGTTTTTGGTTGTAGCCTGTATCCGACTCGCATAACACGGATCTGTTTACTGTAGACGTTTATGTGAAAAAGATGGCGTTTAAACATACGGTATTTCGTTGAACTCAAAGTGAGTAGATTTAGCTATGGACGGTAGGGACGCGGCTCTACCAGTATTGTAGGAGTACAGTGTGTTTCAGGCACTTGGCCACGTAGTGAATTTCCCACAGCACGAAATCTACGGAGAAGAACCCCCCCGCGGGGCGGAAAAATCTACCGAGTTGGACATATGAAGAGGGTTATCGGACCCCCCACGAAATTTATTTCTGGCTACGGGCCTGGTGGGTGGGGGTTCGGGGCTGGTTTGGTCCCTACTGATGATCATACCAAACTTACGCCTTTACCCCCAAGTCCCGATTTTGAAGAAGTATTTACTAAGTCTTTATGAAGTATGAAAGCTGAAGTGACTAAAGACATCGTTCATGAAAACAAAATGATTTAGAGAAACAAAAGTAGACCTTTACAATTAACAATTCAGAATCAGTTTCCATAGCTGCATAATCCTATATGACCAGCTCCAGTTAATTTGGTACTAAGCGGCTGGCCATCGAAAATATGAGAATAAAGCGTCCTCATTCTTATCAGCCTCAGCAGCTTCGCAAGGAGCGTGAACCCCAGAGAGCAGCCGGTCCCCGGCCGCCCGTGGGCACCCTCCCAGGCCAGTCCCACTCTCGGACGCGATAAAGCTACAAGCACCTGTACTCCGTTGCCAAAAGAGATAGCAATGACTCCACAACCCCCTTGAACGCAGGACGGCGGCAGATAAAGACATTTCCTTTCGTTGGTGCCGCAAGCCATGGCGTGAGCTTCCAAATGTTGCATGTTAATGAGATACATTGATTGTAATCGATAAAGATTATGTCTATAGGGGTGGATATACATGTCTGTTGGAGCTTTATGGACTGGAGGAAAATTGGATTCTTTACAGAAATGGTTTTGCAAATTATGCAAATTGTAAATTATGTATTCATTATCTTGAATGGTTGTTACCAAAACAGTTCAAACAAAAAACTGGGAAAAGAGCAATTAGGCTTATACACAAATTAACTATTTCACCAATGCCATAAATCCTTCCTTAATTTAAGTGGACGTGTTCATTAGATAAGCTTTGACTTAGAAAACGCTGAAACATCCGAAGCTGCTAGTTACCGCTTACAAGTATATAGGCTACACCTCATTTAAAGCACTTTTGCATGCACAGATTACTGAATGCATTACTGATGGTTTCCTGACTTATTTCTGAAGCATTAATTTCAGTTCCGTTTCATATTTGGTTGGTTGAAATAAGGCGTCACAATTTAGTGTAAAACAGCTGAGCGCATGTTAAAATACAAATGCAGGCTACATTTTTTTTCTTGACGGGACTGGGATTCTGGGAAATTTTGGATGCCTCGATGAAGGATGAGCAACGAAGTAATTAACAGTGACTTTTAAATAAATAATGCCGTATTTTATGCCGATTTTAGATATTCTCCAAGCTTCATTCATCAGAAATGAAGACCGTCACATATACGATGTTCACATAACACTGCGTAATTTAATATATGGGCCTATTAACTTTTTATGTATTTCAAGGTTTTGTGAAATTGACTTAAACTCAGAAAAATAAATAAATAAATAAAAAGGGTACCCAAAGGATACTGGCAACAAGAGCACCCGTTTAACCTTGCCCCTCCTTCACACTATGCCGTTGGGATTGGCTTTGATTCGCGAGACTCAAACCGTGACTTCACGTGAAACAAAAGGCAGCAGCACCACATAGCCTATTTTTCCAAACTCATATTCAATCACGTGAGAGCCCATTTTTCTCTTATTCACGAACCTTGCACTCCCTGGGTTTCAGTCAACAATCTGCCCTGCACAAAAGCAGAAAGCGGAGGAAACAGATCGCCATTTAAAAATGCCGAGGGGATTTTTAGTGAAGAGGAACAGATGGATATCAACGTCGCTTTGTAAAATACGTTATGGGGACAAAAAACATCCCAGTGCTGATCCAACCACGGGAACTCCACATGAGCTTGTCAATATGCCTGGTGCCCCGTGTAATGTCTGGAGGGCGCCTGCAGATTTATGGGAATCGTTTGCGCTATTTTCAGAAACCAAACGCACACACCCATCCGAATGCGCAATGGAAGTGGGAAGCAAAATCTGCACAAACTTATCGGTCGGGGGCCAGGATCCCAGATGTTGTGACCAAAACGAAACCTCTCTAAGTCACGCAGAGTCGACAGAAAAACGGCTGAATGACTGGAGCATGGAAAACGGACTTCGCCTTTCTGCGTGTCCAGACTCAACTCAGTGCACGGGGTCAGAGGAGAGGCTGCAGATGCGCTCACACGTGAACTTACCTGCTCCTGTTAAAGCGGACTCGCCGCTTCATCACTACGCGCCTCCTCATCATACTGTCAGACGCACGAATAGTGACTCTGGCTGCGAAGTCAAATGCTCGCTTCTAAATCACAAAGATAAGAGCAAAATTAGCTTTAGGAAGAATGTCATCACTGGCTCTACCCTCGATCTAAAAATAAAGAAAAGGGGAGATTCGAAAATGCGACTATTCACGGTAGACACCAAGCCTTTGGGTGACTTCATTTGCCAGCTTTGCAAGGTGGAGTATCCCGATCCCTTTTCTCTGGCGCAGCACAGGTGCTCCGGATTAGCTCGGGTAGATTACCGCTGTCCGGAGTGCGACAAAGTTTTCAGCTGCCCAGCAAATCTGGCTTCTCATCGTAGATGGCACAAGCCTCGTCCCACAAAAAAGGACGAGATCCACGACGGCAGGCAAACACAGCGGTGCGTGTTAGGGGATCCGGTGCGGGAGCAGAAAGGCGATGCCGAGAAGATGCCTATGAATGATCAGCACCTTTCACACCCGGAGAGTTCCCATTCGCAAAGTACGCGCAAGACAGATAAACCATACAAAAGGCTGAAATCGCAGGAAAGGTCACCCCGAAACCTTAATTATAAAGCGTCAGAAAAGAGTTTCAACCAATATCGTACGATGCTGGACCGCGCTAGCAGGACAGTAACCGCTAACTCCGAAAAATATTCTATATACACTGGTCTCTACTCTCCATGCATAGGAACACAGCAGCTGAGTGTAGGAAATGTATCCAGCAATACATTCCGTGGACATGAATTTCTGGGAAATCACATGGCTGCCCAAGACAACGCTGGATCTTCGACTTATTACCAGACACAAGCAGGGCAAACACCAGTTTCCTGTCTGTTTTGCGGGATCCCTCTTCCCTCTGCGGAAATACGGGATAAACACATGTTGTGGCATGTCAGATCTGAAGAGATTCTCGGTAATCCGGGTGGGAGCGATAATACGGTGGCGAGACTGGGAATCTTCAATTTAGAGCGTCAGATCTTTCTTTTCTAAACGCCCAGTGCCATGCACCTCTCTTCGGTGGGGATACCAGCTCACCTAAGCCGACAGAAGGCGGTTTCTATGGACATGCCATCCGTATAATGACGATTTCTGTGTATATAGGCTACGCATATTTCAAAATGGCACAGTGACTTGTTTTTGTAATTTTCCGTATCTGTAATTAGTCGGCATTTTTTATTTTATTTTACTTGATATATTCGTGATGTGAAGCATTTATTTGTAATATCAACGATGCTATTCTTTAATATATAATATGCGCATCTGCGAACAATTTTTATGTATCTTGTTAAGAATGAAGTAAATATTCAAAGACTTGTAGTTAGCCATTATAACAATAGATATATGCTTCTGCATACTGCAGTTATGTATACTGTATGCCTATGTATTGTAAATTATACATTGTGCAGATGTTACTGGTTTTACGCTTTAGAACAATTATATTGACAAAGACACCTAATGAACCGCAACACGTACGTTATGTAATAAGTGCACTATTTGAATTCGGTAGTGAGAAATTGACCGGAAAAATAAACTTGATGATTGGCAGTAATAATAACAGTTTTTGCAGATTAACTGAAACTCAAGTTCGCTTTCCCCGTAAAGAATGGCACGTATTTGAACGTGTTTTAGCGTTCAGTGCCGTTTTGCAAAGGTATTGCACTTCGCACTGTTTAAACGTTTTCAGACTTCCAACAGCTGTCCTCTTAACCCTGCTGAAACAAAGTCACTCAGCAATTGGTATGAAGTGTGATTATGAAACTTACGAAATCTGCACCGACGCATCGTGTCTGCGTAGAATTACTAGATTTCCATATGCAATAGAATTTAACACCCTCTAATTTATACACCGCAACCCTGTAATAGATGCACAGTGAAAAAAATATACTATAGGCCTACTGTATTAATAACAAAGTCCGCCCTAGGATGCATTAGCAGTGTTTAATTAGCAAGAGTCCTTTTCTGAATTATCCATAGCATGCATGATCTGCTCCAAAGACACATCAGTGTGATACTAGTATGATAATTTGTAATGCTGCTTTTCCAGGTGTTTGGTACTATAGCTTTTAAAACAAAAGAGTTATGGCAACTTTGAGCCCAGGAAGTAAGGAGAGAAGGATGGACCATCACAGAGTACTCACTCACTCGCGTATATACATGAAGGTTCACACAAATGGCTTGGCTGTACTGAGCATAGAAAAAATTGTCACACAGAAACATCTACAGCCTTGAAGCTGTGAGGTCAAATGAAAATAAATTGAAGCTTTATTTGTGGTTTGTACAAGTACAGGAAGAGGTACATTGGAATGTCTTTTTTCCTCACATATCTCATCTTGGTCTCCTTTTCTAAGACATGTGTGTGACAGCAAAGCTTGGACTCTGAGCGCAGGGTCAACTGTCTGTCCATCACCTCTGGAGCATTTTTCGGAGCTTGAAGACCTTGCACAAGCTCCCAAGGGGCATGTGGCTGCACTACCCACCACAGGACTCTAACCACACTTACATAACACAACACATAACAAAAAAAAAAACATTTAGACACATTTTGTATCTTCTAGCCTCTAGAAAGTTCATTCCAAGCTCCCCCTGACTGTAAACTCATCTACACTGGCATGAGTGGACCATGAATACCTTAGAAAAGGAGCATATTTAACACCTGCGAGTCTTTGGACCTGTCGAGTCCTGTTCATATTGACATTGTCAGCTGTGCTGGATGCAGGACCAGTACTCAGCCGAGCTCTTAGCATCATGACAACAGGAACGTAAGATGCTTCTAATTCAGGGTCAGACTCACCTACACAGAACATCTACCCATACACACTTTCATGCATCAGAGGCAGACCGTACACTTATTATACACACACCTTGCAGAAATGCAGAAAGCATTTTTGTTTCTTTATATGGAGGGTCACCTGAGTTCCAAGCAGGCAAATCAGTTTCAAAGTGAGGAGCCTGACAGGCTGGTAGGTGGAACTTATGAAGAGGCCACTTCCATTCTGATCGCCACATCGCATGCAGATCATTACAACATTCAAGCAGTCAAGCACTTTTCTGAAGGCGCTACACCATGCACTTTGCCCAGAAGGCAGTGTTTGGCATGGCCTGGCTGTGCAGCCTTTGCAGTACAGGATCAATGTTGAGTCAACGATAAGCCATGCAACTGCTTAGCTGCCATTTCAAGAGCAGAGTCAAGCAAAAGCACTGACTCATGCCTCGTCCTTCATTAATTCCAGCTGGCCAAGACCTCCTTCCCAACCAATCACAACTTTTCTCATCCACGGACCCTCCTCTGTCGCTCACACCTCCACTTCTGGGCCACCACGCCGCCTCCTTTAGTTGTTTTTCCCTACAATCGGCCCCTAGCAGATGGACAATGGTGAAAGACTTGTGGAGTCATCTCCACCTCACCTCCAGATGCCTAGTGGCAAGCACCCAGGCCTCCACCAGCAGCCCAATCCTCATTTGCACCACACTCCCCACCAGTCACGCTCATCAGTAGGACCGTCGCTGCTTCCAAAAGCAGCTGGCTTGATTCAGTTCCATGCTTCAGCTTTATGGTCACGCTGAATGAGAGATGAACTGGGTGCAGGAAAGGGAGGGATAGATATCACGAGTACAAAGACCAAGACAGACATTTTGGTGCTTGGATCACATCACCATTGACTAACTGCTTTTTCCCTGCAGAAAATACAGAGACAGTAGTAAAAACGTGTCATAGACTGTAGACTGAACAAACTTCATTCGTTGCCTGTTTGCTTGGTGATGGACTTCCAAAGACGCAGCCCCTTTAAATCACATCGTCTCTGTGTCACGCCAACAAGTCTGACCAAATGATACAGTTTATTCTTGCCTGGATCTGAACATAGGACATGCCCTTTCAAAAATAAGACACTACTGGTAATCAGAGTAGCCAGAACACAGATACCGTCTATATAGTTTCAAGCATGTCCGTCTTTCATCTTTGCTCATATAACACACCAGGCACATTTCAGAACTGAAATACCTCATATGCCCATAAATGATTTAAATGCCTGTTTTATGGCTGCCTGTAAATCTTAGCCATTAAGCATTTCAACACAGCAATTATCTCGCAGTCCAATGTGGCAACTACATGACGAGAAAAATAAAATAGAAAAATATGTTTTCTGTACATCAGCCATGGAAGTTTAAGTCACAAAGAGTTATTTTATATCAAAGGCACATTAGATGTAACATGTACACAAGTGCAGAGGTCATGGGTGCTTGCTTAGTCTCTTCTCCATTCTGATATTCATTACACACACACACACACACACACACACACACACAAACACAAACACAGACCTGTACTCATGTCTTTGTGGGGACTCTCCATTCATTCCTATGGGGAAAACTCTAATCACAACATGACGACCTTAACCCCTACCCAGCCCTAACCTTAACCATAAGTAACCAAACTAAATACGAGACTTTTGGCATTTTTCGTTTTTTTTGAGTGCATTCGCAGATCTTTGTGAGGACCTGAAAAATGGTCTCCACAATGTCAAAATAACAGGTTTTTTATCACATTTGTGGGGGACATTTGGTCCCCACAATGTCATGTAAACTCAATCCACACACACACACACACATACACAAATTACTGTTTTTCTGGTAATGTGGTGACTCCACATTGAATCTCATTCTGATACCACATAGCTCCTGATATTCTGATACTAAAAAGAACTGAAAGCTTATCAATGGTCACAACAAACAACAATATACATGAACATAAAATGAACATTTAACTGTGCAGATGCCCCAACACAGTTTGTTTTTCATAGTTCACTCTCCATGTGGGGACTTGTCTCCGACAACTTTAGAAAAAATGTATATAAAGACCCAGCAACACAGAGGACAGAAACCAGGCTATCTCACAGTCTGAGTCAGAGTGCTAATGTAACTCAAGCAGAGCCAAACCAGGACCCCTTACGATGCCAGCGAGTAGGACCAGCAGGACTGAGCTGCTAAATATAGGGAAAAAGCATTTTTGAGGAACAACTAATGATTAGACATTACTAAGCATTTTTTAAATTTTATCCATCTGACTATAACTCTTAGCAGCACATTGCAGCGCATACAACTCTGGAAAAATTAAGAGATCACAGCAAAATTTTCAGTTTCACACACTTCTGTGTAAAATATACATTTTTTTGCAAACTACAGCCTGGCTCTTCCCTGCTTCTCATTGATGAATTCTTCTTCCTTGCTTTATGGGTCTTCACTCCTGCTTCTAGAAGCCTGTTATGAATTGACCTAGCAGTGCACTTCACACCACTTAATGTTTCCCATTATTTTTGAAGGTCACTTGAGACCATCGACCGATTTATGAGGCACTGCCGGATAAGTTGGCAGTCATCTTCTGCCCTCTTCCTGGCTGTTTTTGGGTCTTTCCCAGTGTCTCCTGCTTCACCTTTTTCTCGTGCACCACTGTCTTAGAAACTTTGAGCTTGGAAGCAGCAAAACTGGGATTAAACCAGGATTTTAAAATGCAGATATAATGTTTTTTTAATAGAGAGTGGTCTCTTACGTTTTTCCAGAGCTGTATATTCAAAATAACATTGGGATGTTTCCAAACGCTGCGTAAATTCAGTTGAAGAAAAAGATACAGACATGAAACTAGGGACAAAGTGGCAAATAAGAGGATCTAAAAAAGAGGATTTACGAAAATCACTGAGCAAGTCTTAACAAATAAATCTTCAGAATGAAAAATACTTCTTGAAAGCAGCACAGCAACACAGACAATGCCTAGCAGTCTATCACATACATGTACATGGTAAGGCTAAAGTTTGTAGGTACATTTGACTATTTTTTGAAAAAATATTTGCTTTTGCCTTAACTCAGATTAATGTAGGGGGACAGATTGCCTTTACAAAAGCAAATAACCCAGCATCATCACCGCCATCACCCTCCTCTACACAGCCTTGTTCGGAGGTGGCCAATTGAGGCAGCTCTCCAAATTGCCTCAACTGCTCCGTCGAACAAAAGCGGCTGCCGCCTTGGACATGAAGAGAGGCGTCGATACTTATCGATCCCCCCGCTGCTTTCTCATTCTCCAGCGGGCCCCGGCAGAGTGCAGGGGCCCCTCACGCTCAGCACACCGCTGATCCCACATGAGAGCTATCAGTATATGCTGAACGGCC